TGGGGACGGGACTCACCTGGGGAGCCCAGGATCTGGTTGCGGTTGGATGGCGGCCCACCTGCGGAGAAGAAACCTACATCACGAGGTGCTCGCCTTGGAGTCCGGCCTCCTGTGCCCTGCAGAGTCAGATCCCCCGCGCCATGTGGGACCTCGGGGTCCCTGGCCCCGCCATGCTGCGTGTTCCAGGCAGGTGCTTGCTCTGAACTTCTTTCCTCCTCTGAAAAAACGAGACCAACATTTCTCTTGCTGGGTTATCGTGCAATAACTGCCACTTAGATTTTCTTTTTTATCATAAACTCCATCACCCTGGTCAAGAGCTCTGTTATCCTCACCGTGACCTTCATCACTCTGCTCATGAGGGGTCAAGTTACTTGCCCAAAGTCACACAGCAATGGAATGGCAGAGCGAAAACACGGTATAATTGACATGAACCCCCCAGCCAACGCTCCTTCTGCTGCCACTAAGCCAAAGCCCAGCACCGCCAGCCCCTTCTCCTGTAGGTTCTAAAGTTGGCAGCGATCCTGGGGCGAGGGCAGGGGTGGGGGAAGAAGGGGGGCTGCAGGGCAGCTGCTGGGGAGTGGGGAAGCCAGCTGTGCAGAGCTGGACCCACGTTCCCCGCCTCCCAGCCAACAGCAATGCACAACCCGGTGCCTCTGCTAATTGGTAATTGGCCCCCTTGTTACTGGAGGGGTGGGGGTGGGTGGCGCAGCTGTAACACACTGCCCTGGAAGGGGAAAGTGGGTGGGTCCTGCCAGCTGGAGAGGAATGGGTACCTCTCCGGCCCGGGAGCCAGGATGATGTTCCATCCTGCCTGACAGGCTGGGCACGTGCCCAAGGTCATCGGAAAACACTGGGACAGCAGGAGCCCTGTTTGGGTCGGTTTGGGTGTCCCGCCCCTGCTCAAGGTCTGGCCCACAAGGAGAAGTCGTGTGGAGCAGGGAAAGCGCGTGAGGTGGGCTGGAGGGAAGGCGGGCTGGAGGGAAGGGCAGCTGCATCGCTGGCTCCTGTGTGTCACTGGACGTGTCTCAACCCTCTCTGGGCCTCAGCTTTGTCGTCTGTACGCTGAGGCTTAGCTGATCTGGAAAGTTCCTTCTGGCTTTGAGAGTCAATGGCTTTTAACTCTGGATTCTAGAATTCTCTGCTCTTACCCCCAGATTGCAAAATTCTAAGGGTCTGTATTTAAAGTGTTTGAGAGACTGTAGTTCTAAGGTTCTAGAATCGTTCATTTCTCTATTTCACTGTTTCTCAACCTTTATTCGGTGTCACCGCCCTAAGGAGAGTTTTTAAAATCTTAATTTGTTATCTCATGAAGTTTTAATATCACAGATGTGCTGTAAATCTGTTTATGTACGATACGCATAGCGATACTTTATATACAGAAAGAATAAGATTTTCTTTGCTCCCCAAAAACCGATGTTCGCCGCCAAAGGAGTCATAGTCCCATGAGAATATATGTCACAGTTCCAAGAGCCAAGAATTTGATGGCCCTCGGATTCTAGAACTGAAAGATTCTATTTTGGGGTTCAAGATTCTAGAATGATCCTAGGAACGATAGAAATGCATACATACGTTGACCAAGAGGCACATTCTAGATTGTTCACTGAAGCCTTGTGCACAACATCTAAAACCCAGAAGCTGCCCCAGTGTCTACGGATAGGAAATCAGATTCCTAAATAGAGGTGGAGTCACACGGTGGAATATTACACAGCGAGGAAAAAGAACAAACCTATGTTACAGGCACCTCTATGGAGGGGCCTTCTGGACATCGCATGCAGCGAGAGAAGTCAGACACAAAAGAGAAAATATGATTCTATTTAAATAAAATAGGAAACCAGGCAAAATGGATCTATGCTGCTGGGATTCAGCATCGTGTGTGTGCTGGGGGTGCGTGAGGGTGTAGCTAGGAAGCTGGAGATGCTTTTTTCTTGAGCTGGGTTTAGAGGTGAGCTCGGGCTGTGCAGATCCATCATTATGGTCTGAATATGTCCCCTCCCTCGCCGCCCCACAATGCATGTGTTGATCCAAAGCCGGAAAGGTGATGGTATGAGGAGGTGGGGGCCTTTGGGGGGCGATTAGGTCATGAGGGTGGAGCTTTCGTGGGTGGGGTCAGTGTCCTTATAAAAGAGACCCCAGAGAGCTCCCTGCCCCTTCCGCCGTGTGGGGACACACTGAGAAGATGCCATCTGTGGACCAGGAGGTGGACTCTGACCAGGACGCGACCACGCTGGTACTTAGACCTTGGACTTCCAGCCTCCAGGATTATGAGAAATAAATTTCTGTTGTTTATAAACCATCCAGCCTGCCGTATTTTGTGATACCAACCTGGACGGACTAAGACATCCGTTGAGCTGTGTATTTCTCTGTACGTAGGAAACACTTTAGAAACACATTTTTTAGAGAAGATTCTGGAAATGTGTTTAATCAAAACTCCAGAATTATATGTCTTCAAGAGTCTTTATGATTGTGATATTTTGCAACAGGACTCAGCAAAACCACAGCCTGTATATCGAATTTGGCCTACTGCCTGTTTCTTTAAATAAAGTTTTATTGGAATCCGGCCCCATCCATTCACCTACTGCCCTCTACAGAGGCTTTCGCACTATGAGGCCAGAGCAGAGTTGTTGCAACAGAGACCTCTGGTTCCACAAAATAGAAAATATTTCCTATGTGGCCCTTTATAGGAAAAGTCTGCTGGGGCTCTGGTCTAGAATTATAAGTCCCAGCATGCCTTTGGTTCTGTGATCTAGAATCTGATGTTCTTGTGTCTGCAAGATTTCTGTAGCCAAGAATCTCATGGGAATTTAGAGTTTATATTTCTCGGTGTTTGAGATTCTAGATTCTCAGTTGTCTAGAAGTTCCAAGTCCCTGCCTCTTCCCATTTATTCTCATACCTGCCTCCACCAAGAGCTGTGTTCCGTTGCCCTTGGCTTCCGCCAGCTCAGGAATCTCCATGGTTGCCCAGCACACATAGTTCCCGCTGTCGTTAAGACTCACGTGGTCCAGCTGCAGGGTGAGATTGCCAGGCGGCTGCCAGGAGAGCCGTCCCTGGGGCCCACAGACCCCCAGGCTGAGGGTGCCATTGGTGATGTGTGGCGGGCACAAGGTGACACTGTCCTTGGTCCACTCGACGCGGAGCTGCTCGAAGGCCTGAGACAGTACCACCTGACAGGTCAAGGTCACCTGGCTGTCCTGCTTCACCTGTAGCAGCTTAGGCTCCTGGTGCACGCTCAGGCCTGTGGCTCCTTGCAGGGCTGGGGACGGAAGAGATGAATGAGGTCTCTCAGTGTTCGTGTGTGTGTGTGTGTGTGTGTCTCATTCCCTGAATGAGCCCACAGGAGTAAGGCAGCAAGAGATTAAAACCTTGCTGTCTGCGTGATCACTTCTCCTCGCTGAGACTCAATGGCCTTTCCTGTGAAGTGGGTATAACTCAGCGTTTGTGAAATTTCAAGACGAACTTTATGACACATCCAGCTCTCGGCCACACAAATGTTGCCTGGCGTGTGCCCTTTTCTGGACACCTTGGACACAGACACAGAGGTGGCCGAGACAGACAAAAATCCCTGCCCTCATGTCGCTGACCAGGGACAAAGAGAGACACGGGAAGTCGTGAAATGGGAATCGTGGCGGAGGAAAGGAATGGCGAGTGGCAACAGAGGATAAAGATGAGGTGAGAGAGCATCTACTTATCGAGGGTGGTCAGGGAAGTCCTCCTGGGGGAGGTGGCATTCGAGCAAGGATCTGAATGGTAAAAAGTAGCCAGTCCTGGTAAGTGAGGAAGATGTGGAGGAAGGGTATTCACGGCCGAGAAAACAGCCATGAAAACGCCCTGCGGCCGGACTTGGTGAGTTGGAGGAGCAGCGAGGAGGCCTTGTGGCTGGAGCAGAGAGATCACAGGGAGGGGAGAGGGAGGAAGTGGGGTCAGATAGGTCGGCGAGAGATGGCTCATACAAGGCCAGGCGGGCCACGGGGGTGGGGTTCGGTGGGGTGGAGAGGCGGAGATGGGGAAAGGGCAACTTGCTTTTTAATCTAAGTGCGATGGGACATCAATCGGCAGAGCTGGGGGAAACGTGGTCCAGTCTGAGTTTTAAAGAGATCATCCCGGCTTCATGGTGAGGATGGATTATGGGGTAGGGGCTTTGGGGACAGCCAGGAGACAATGGTCCCAGCGAGCAGTAATGGGGACTGGATCCTGGAGAGAAGGGGTCAGAGTTCGAATGGATTTCGAGGGAGTTGCAAGGAAAACTGAACTGGAAAAGAGAGAAGAGGGATGGTGACGGTCCCCGAGGGAATTTGTGAGTGGCTTTGACCAAGATTTGGGACTCGGAGGGGAGGGGAAGGGACGGAGGGCTAGTAGGAAGAGTCTGCTTCTGGCGCCTGCTAGATCCCCCAGAAGAGGTGAGTTTGTGTTAAGCTCCCAGCATTTGAGACGTCACTGGGGCTGATGCCAGAGAGAAGAGTTCTAGGGAAGAGTGTTTCAGGCAGAGGGAACAGCATATGCAAAGGCCCAGAGGTGGAATAAAGCTCAGCGTGTTGTGGGGAAAATAAAGAAAGACAAAGCCAGCAGGCCGACCGACAGGGAGAGAGGGAACGTAGAGGCGGGTGGAGATGAGAGAGGCCAGCGGGGCCAGCTCAGCGAGGCTGGTATGTCGGTCACGGGTCGACTTCTTTCCTGGGGGCCCCTCTGAGGACCTTAGATGCACTCCGTCAGCCCTCCCAGGGTCCTGAGTACCAGGGAGAGACAGGCCGCAGTTGGCGGGGCAGAGACCGGGGTGCAGAGCGGCTGAGTGGGAGCAGCTGGAGTGATGGACAGCAAGAGGGGGTGCAGAGGGGAGGGAGGCCCAAATACTCACCCCAGAACTGCCACAAGATGACCAGCACTGTGACCAAGGACCCCATTCCTGGCGACTGAGGCGCCCCTCGCCCCACCGGTGCTCCGCCGCCCCCTCTTCCTCTCCCACTTGACAGACTTCCTGCCACAATCTCCGCCCCAGCCACAAGGTGAACGTGACATCCCGGCCAGACGCAGACGTCCGGTGGCCAATGTGGCTTGGGGCTCCACTTCCTGCCATCTTGTGCCTCAGTTTCCCAATTGTTTTTTTTTTCGTCTGAAATCCAGCGTGCATTATGAGAATGGAGATAATGTGTCCCAGTAAATGAAAATCTTTCCAGAAGTTTCTACATAAACATACCCGGGCTGGGGGGACAGGTGATGCAGTGGTGGGGGAAGGGAGCAGCGGCTGATCAAATAATGGAATCCAGTCTCAGCTATTTGTCCTCAAAATGTCTCCCTTTGAGGGTCGGAGGCATGGATTTCTGCTGATGGCTTTGGGTTCCACAGCAGCTATAGAGAGTTTCTCTGACCCCACGACCTGGAGAGAAGTTTAAAGCCTCAGCCCAAGCGGTTCGTAGGCTCTGGACTGCCTCCCAGCCTTGTACCTGTCACCCCAGGTGCTGGCAGAACACCCTGCACGTAGGGGCCAGACCCTTAGGCCTCAGCCACAGTGTGACTGTCACCCAGAAGGAAGAGGGCCTGTGTCCTTTGCAGAATCGTTTTTATCAGCCGCAGGAGGCCCTCCAGTGGCTTCTCTCACCTCCCCCGTGGACACACACGGCCTCGCAGCCTCCACCCATTAGTCCTTCCCCCTCCTTTGGACTCTCCAAAGCAACACCTCCCCCCACGGAGGGGCAATGCTGGAGACCCTGGGCAGATCCAGTCCCAGGCTGGTGGGGAGGACACAGGCATTCCTAGCCCTGTGGATTCTGCGTGGGCGGGGAAGCTTCTGGAGATGACAGAACCTGGGGCTTTGTGGGATGTGTAGGAGTTCAGCTGCGCTGCAGGGAGGAAAAGAACGCATCTGTCTCTCTGAGCATCCGCTTGGGCAAAGGCCTTGGGTTTTTCAGTAAACGCAAGGCTCGTGAGTAGTCCGGGGCTAGATCTGGGCGACGGGGTAGAAATCTAGTTTGAGCAGCAGCGCAGGTGACCAAATGGGGAGGCTGAGGCACCGGGAGGCCTAGGGGTGGGCTCTAGGTCACACGGCAGGACCGCGGTGGGAGGTCGAACCCAGGCTTCCTGCCTCTCCAGCTCAGCCATCGCTACCAATGTCACCTGGGGCGTCCCAGCGCGGGACTACATTTCCCAGCCTGCCGCGCGGGGCGCGCGCCTGCGCGCTGCAGCCAGTGATGGAGAGCTGACGGGGGGCGCGGCAGCGGCGGCGAGTGCTCGGCGGGCCATTGGCTCCCGGCAGCGGCAAAGGCAGCTTGGGGATTCCAAGAGCGAGCGGGGCCCGCGGGCCGGGCCGGGCCGAGCTGGGCTGCAGCCATGGAAGACCAAAGGGTAAGACCGGGGCTGCGCGCGCGGGGTCTGCGGCGGGGGTACCCAAAGGGAGGGGACCAGGTGTTGCCGCAGCGTTCTCCCCGCCCCCAGCTGCTCTGCGGCCGAGGCCCCACCTCCGCCGCAACCAGGCCGGGTCTAGTCCCTCCATCCAGGGCGCAACCGCCCACCGCCGCCCAGACACCCCATCATCTTAGCCTGGGTCCAGGGGCATCCCCTCCACGTCCCCGCCTCCGCCCAGTATCCCGGACCCAACCTTGACCCCATCCTCCACGCCTTTCGTCCGGACTGTGGACCAGGTGTCCTGGCCACCGCCCCACCCCGCCTCCGAGGACGCCTCACCCGTTCAGTCCAGGTGACCCCACCAACCCTGAGCCCCTAGAAGAGAGACCCGTCCGAGGCCTGGGTCAGGGCTACAGGCCCCAGCAGGATCCTCCCACGCCGCCTCCTTCCCTCCCGGCATCCCCTCCCCCAGACCGCCCCACCTCCGCATCTACCTGGGCTCTCTGACACGCCCCTCCCAGATTCTTCCTTTCTTCTCGTTTATCCCTTTTCCCAGGCTAGCCCATTTTTTAGCAGACATCGTTTTCTTCCGGGGTTTTCTTTCCGCGAGCTAGCCCCTCACCCCGGATCATGCCCCGCCCTCAAATGCAGGTACCTGGTCGAAGGCTTTGTGCTCTGGCCGCGGGTCTGCCCTTTCCTGAGAGGCTGTCTCCGTGCCTCGGTTTACTCTCCTGTAAAATGGGCACCCTCACGGTGCCCACCTGCTGGGTGAGGGAGGGTAGGGCCAGAGCTTCGCCCAGGGCCTGCTTCCTGGCGCGTGCCCCCACATCTCCTCCCTGGATCCTTGGAGGGCAGAGTGGGGAGCCCCAGGTGGGGGAGCTGGGCCAATCTGAGGGGCTTACCTGCCCTGCGTGTGCGTGCCCTTCCGTGGGGACAGGAGGCTCTGCGAAAGATCATCACAACGCTGGCCGTGAAGAATGAAGAGATTCAGAGTTTTATCTACTCCCTCAAGCAGATGCTGCTGAATGTGGAGGTGAGGCCACCACCCCCAGGAGGGAGGTCTTGAGGCAGGTAGATAGGAGGGAAGGAGGGGCAGCCCTATGAGTTAGACTGCCGCTGCTGATGACCGTCCGACCCGGCCTGGCTGCCATGTCCAGGCCTCAGTTTCCCCATCTGAGCACGGGCTTTGGCCAATCCCGCAATGTCTCTCCAAGGCAAACTCAGCCAAGGTGCAGGAGGACCTGGAGGCGGAGTTCCAGTCCCTCTTCTCCCTCCTGGAGGAGCTGAAGGAGGGAATGCTCATGAAGATAAAGCAGGACCGGGCCAGCCGCACCTACGAGCTGCAGGTGTGTGTGGGGAACTCTTCTAGGCCTCCGCTCAGACGCCACCCCCACTGCACCCCTCAGACTCCACAGAGCCCGGCTGGCCTCATGTTTTCCTCCAAAATTGCTCCTTTTTCAACGTCCCTTCTTGGAGATACCCCCAAGTATCTGGAGCCGGACACCCCGATGGTGTCGGTCTCACCCCCTCTTCCCCTGGTCTCCTGCCTGTACCCTCCCTGGCTCGTGACCCATCACTACCCTACCCACCTGCTCTCCCTCTTAATCCCCTGTCCCATGTTGCCACAGCCACACCCACACATCTGGTCGTTCCTCCCTCCTGCCTTCACCCAGTGCCTTTAGTTTCTCAGCCCTTCCCACTGGTTCCCCGCATCTGATGGCCGGACACCCCCATGGCTCCCATGGGATCTCAGAGGCCAAGCTGGGGTCACTGGGGCTGCATCGAAACTCCTAGGCAACTTCTTAACATCCCAGATTCCCGTTCCCAGGGGACGTGGAGCTCCGGAGCTCAGGTGTGGCCTGGGCATATGAGTTTTTTCAGGACGGGATTCCCAGGTGATTCTGATGAGCTGCCAGGAGCAGCATCCAATGTCCCTCAGGCCTCCATCTCCCACCTGGAACTGGAGAAAGGCGTGATACCTGGGCCCCTCCTAAGGCAACGGGGAGGCTTAGGGGGGTTTGATGCACTGGGGTGAGGTGTGTCATCCCTCAGTGCCATGCCACCTGCAGAACCAACTGGCTGCTTGCACACGGGCCCTGGAGAGCTCCGAGGAGCTTCTGGAGACGGCCAACCAGACCCTGCAGGCCACGGACAGAGGCGACTTTCCTCAGGTGGGTGCCTCGGAAGCCGTGCTGGTGCAGCTGCCAGACCAAATACAGGACACCCAGTTGAATTTGCATTTCAGATCCACTGCGAGTAATTTTTTAGTGTAAGTATGGCGCATGCAATATTTAGTATAAGTATGTCACAAAGACCGCATGGGACGTTCTTATACTGAAAGAATTGTTCACTGTCGCTCTGAAATTCAAATTCAACAATGAATCATTTTTTTAGTGGAAGTATATTTCATGCAAAAGCTTAGTATAAGTTTCCAAAATATTGCATGAGACATTTATACTCAAATAACATTTGTCATTTACCTGAAATTCAAATTTAATAATGTACAGTTGTTTAGTGTAATATGTCCTGTGCAATATTTAGTTCAGCGGGTCCTCAAATAACCTCGTCTTGTTCAGGGTTGTTTTATTATAACGTTGATGAGAAAAAAAATCAGTTCCCAGCTGGAGCCACTGTCTGAGGGGGGCGTGCATGTTCTCCCCACGTCTGTGTGGGTTCTCTCTGGGGACCCTGCTGTGTTCCCACCTCCCACAGCTGTGTGGAGGAGGTGAATCGGCGTCTGCACGGTCCCAGTGTGAGTGAGTGTGGGTGTGAGTGGCCCTGCAGCGCAAGTGTGTCCTGTCTAGGGCGGGGTCCCTCCAGCCTGGTGCCCTGAGCTGCCAGGATAGGCTCCGGTCACCCTAAACGGGAGTCAGCAGGTTGCAGAATCATTGTCTACCTTGTTTTTATTAGTCTTTCTTGAATGTACATATAGCTCACATTTATTTCAATGTTCCATATTGAAAGTGTTTGGGGTCTTTATTCTTGGTGAAGTTTGGTGACCAGAAATATGCCATAGGAACTCAACTCTTGTTAAAATCAATTAGCCTGCGGTAAAGTTGGTTTCGTTATGTTGTTTCGCTTAAAGTCGCAGCTTCCAAGATTCTATCGATGATGTTAAGTGGGGATTTACTGTATATGTACGTTCCAAATATAGGGTAGGACATACTTTAAAACCATTCGTTGTTCATCTGAAATGCAAATTGACTGGGCGTCCTGTATTTTTATTCGCTAAATCCACCAACTCTGTGTTCTGGGCCCTGGACAGGAGGTGGGGTGGCAGTGGAAGCCTGTCTTTGCCCCTTATCCCTTTGGGGCCCAGCCAAGGGTTTCTGCCCCAGCTCCAGGGGACTTTGGCAAATGGCTGCCATGCTGGACCTCAGTCTTCATGTCCATACAGTGGTTTTCTGACTGACTCAAGACAACTCTGAATTTCATTCTGTTGCTCTTTCTAGGCTGCCAAGCAAATCAAAGATGGGTAAGAGACTGTATGTGGCCCCCAGCCTAGTGCCCCACCCCTGTTGTGAAGGTGGGGACGCCCAGGTGAGGGTCCCTTGGCCCAGAACACTGGACCAGAACAAGAGGGAGGGGTCTCACACACACCTCGGAGGACCAGGCTTGGCGCCCCCTGAGATGCTTGCCAGCAGGCTCCCTCCACCTCCTTCCCTGCAGTGTGACAATGGCCCCCGCCTTCCGGCTGTCATTGAAAGCCAAGGTCAGCGACAACATGAGTCACCTCATGGTAGACTTTGCACAGGAGAGGAGGATGCTTCAGGCACTCAAGTTCTTGCCGGGTGAGAGGGGGACTTGCCGAGGGCTAGGGTTTCAGGGAAAGCTGAGGAGTCTGGGGGTTCCTGAGACAAGGCCTGGAGTAAAGCTGACAGCCAGGCTTTGGGACCCCAAAAAGTCCCACCCCTGGGGTGGAGCCGTGAGGGAGTCCCGCTAATACCATAGGGAGGCCACGCCCCTGGGCGGAGGCTTAAAGGCCCCACCCACCAGAGGTAGCGTCTCCTGAAGGCTGTGCCTCCAATTAGTAGCGAAGTCTGAAATGTTCTACATCTAAATGATGGAATTCTGAGAAGGCCCAGCCCTTTGTTGGTTGAACCCTGAACCAGCTCTGCGCCCCATCCCCTCCCGCCCTTGCTGGACCGCTGAGGGGGCGCCGCCCTCAGGCCACAGAACGCGGGAAGGCCGTCCGCATGCCGGGGACCTGGAGGAGGCCCCGCCCCCAGAAGGCGTACCCTGTGGGCGGGGCCCCAGAGCAGCCCCTACCCCTCTGGCCGCTGGTTCCTGACCTCCCTCTCCTCCGTCCTGGCCAGTCCCCAGCGCCCCTGTGATCGACCTGGCCGAGTCCCTGGTGGCCGACAACTGTGTGACCCTGGTGTGGCGCATGCCGGACGAGGACAGCAAGATCGACCACTACGTGCTGGAGTACCGGCGGACGAACTTCGAGGGCCCGCCGCGTCTCAAGGAGGACCACCCCTGGATGGTGGTGGAGGGCATCAGGCAGACAGAGTACACCCTGACCGGTAAGGGCCGCCGACCCTGTGCCCTTCAGCACCCTGGGCTCCCGATACCCCATCGGCCAACTGGGGCTCGTGGAGGAGCCCTAAAACTCACGGGGTGTGCGCGCAGCCTGGCTGGGCTCATCAGGAGTTGCCCGAAGTGATAACGGAAACGATATTGATGAGGGCCCCTGCACCGTTTACTGGGAACTTGCTGTGTGCTAAGCGTTTCATGCGTGTGACAGGCAGGCCTATCCCCGTTTTACAGGTGAAGGAAGCGCGGGGGCTGGAGAAGGCACCCTTCACCTGCGTGTTCGTTCACTCTTTCTAGTTTATGGAGTGCCTACAGGGCACCACGTGCTGTCTGTCCTTGGAGCAGTGAGCAAAGCAGACAAGAATCCCTGCGCTCGTGGAGCGGGCATTCTGGGGCAAGCCTCCCAGTACTGGGGGATTTCCTTGGCAGTTATGAGAAAGGGGAAAGCCTGGGGGATCCACCCAGCTGGTGGGGGAGGGCCTGACGGAGGGAGGCGTTGGCGGGGTTCCCTCATGGGTCTCAGAAGCCGTCCTGAGCCAGGGAAGCCCCAAGGGGCGGGGGGAGTCTTGCTGACAGTATAACTAGCACCACAGCTCTGGGCTGTAATCAACTTGTTCCTTGTCTGTAATTAGCATACGTGGTTCGTAATGAGCGTGCTAATTGCAGGAAAGAAAAGCCGAGCAGCCAGCAGGAGGGCCCGGGAAGCTACTGGTTTATCCTTTTGCGTGAGAATCAAAATAAATCCGCCCCGTTTCCTCCCAACTATTTTTATTATGGTAAAATGCATGTAACAATATTTACTGCCTTAACCATTTTCGAGTGTATAGTTCCGTGGCGGTAAATTCAGTCACATCGTTGGGCCACCGTCCCCGCCATCCATCTCCAGAACTTTTTATCTTGCAAAATTGAAACTCTGTCCCCATTAAACACCCACTCCCCTTCCGCGTCCCATAGATGCTGCGCCCACCATTGGACTTCCTGTCCCTGTGATTTTTACTACCTTAAGCACCTCATGTGAGTGGAATCACACAGGATTGGTCCTTCTGTGTATGGCTTCTTTCACTGAGCATTGTCCTTAGGGTTCATCCAGGCTGTAGCAAGCCTCACAATTTCCTTCCTTTTTTAAGGCCGAATCATAATAGTCCATTGTCTGGATATGCCCCGCCTTCTCCCGTTTGGCAGCTTACATAGCTGTAGTTCAATGTCAAAACCAGGAAACTGACGAGGCTACGTCCTGCAGCGCTGATCCACGTTTCATTCGTGTGCACGCGTGTAACCACGTGCAGTTTTATCTCATGTCACCGCTACCACAGTCACAGTGTGGACCTGCACCGTCACAGGCTCCCTGACGCAGCCCCTTTACAGCCCCATCCTCTTGCCTTTTACAGCCTTCCGAGTGAATTCCTCAGGGTGGGAAGTCGAATCCATCACAAGGCTGCAGTGTCGGGGACGTCTATCTATGAATGACGCCCTCACCTATGGGAACAGCCTCTGTGGTTATTTGCAATCCACCTGCCACCTCACTGATTGCTTGGAAAGATGGGAGGGTTAAGTGTTTGTGACTTCCATCCCTCAACGCATCTCATTCTCCTGTGAACCCTGCCCAGCATGGGGAATACAGTGGCCGGTTTGCGGAATAGGAAACTGAGGCACACAGCGAGTGTGGCTAGACAGCGGTTAGATGTGTTCCACGTTTGAAACCCAGCCTTCTGGCTGGTGGTCTTAGTTCTGGGGCAGTGGATGGCGCTGCTGAGCAAACTGGAATAGGAAACTGAGGCACACAGCGAGTGTGTCTAGACCGTGGTTAGATGTGTTCCATGTTTGAAACGCAGCCTTCTGGCTGGTGGTCTAGTTCTGGGGCAGTGGATGGCGCTGCTGAGCAAACCTGAACTCAAGGGGATCCCAGGAAGGGTGAGGCAGTCTAGGTGGGCACCCGGAGGAGGTGGCGGCCAGGCTGAGGCCCCACCTCAGAAGCGAGGTTGGAGGAAGATCAGCCTTCCGGGCAGAGGAACAGCCTGGTCCAGGCCTCAGAGGCCGGAACGCTGAGCCTTCATGTCTGGAACTGGTTAAGTTTGCAGAGAGAAGGATGGGAACTTTGCCCAAAGGGCAAGGGTAGCTGGCTATGAGAGGAACAGAGCCAGGGTGCCGAGTGCTGTTTGAGATGCCCAGAGAATCGGCATCCTGTGGGGAACACTCAGGAGGTGACTGGACATAGGGTCAGGGGCTAGAGGTTGGACTGTGGGTGCCCTGGGTGGACGATGGTGCCTGAAGGGCGAGAACAGAACAGTGAGATGAGCAACGGTCCCCGGCTGAGCCACCCCTCAGGGAGGGAGGCACCTGCAGAGAAGACCGTGGGGGAGAAACCAAAGCGGGCAGCCTGGAGAGGGCGGTGCATGGCCACGGAGTAGAGGGTGCTCCAGGAGGGGAGGAGCAGTTAGCCAGGAGGCCCTGCAGGGTGGAGACTGAAGAGGCCGGAGGAGGGAGAGGGCGTGAGGCAGCAAGAGGGGGGGGCCCTAAGCTCTCCAAGGGAGGTTAACTTGGGCAGGGGAGGAGGGGTGGAGACAGCTCGATAGCTGCTTTTTATTTGTGTAGAATGGAAGAAATGAATAAGAAAAGGCTGGAATGGAAGA